CTCTTTTTATTCTTCTCTGACCCAGTTATATTCTTCAGTAGCATGTTGTTTAATCTCTGTGTATTTGTGGTTCTTCCTGCTTTCTTTCTGCAGTTGATCTCTAATTTCAAAGCATTATGATCGGAAAATATGGTTGGTATGATTTGAACCCTCTTATATTTGTTGAGGCTAGCTCTGTGTTCCTGTATGTGGTCGGTCCTTGAGAATGTTCCATATGCCCTAGAGAAGAATATATAAGCAGATGTTTTGGGATGGAAGGCCCTGTAAATGTCAGTTATGTCCAGTTGGTCTAATGTGTTATTTAAAGATGTTATTTCCTTATTGATTTTCTGTTTGGACAATCTGTCCATACCTGACAGTGGAGTATTTAGGTCCCCTATTATGATAGTAGGTCCCCTACTATGGCAGTGTTTTGGTTGGTTACTCTGTTTAGTTCTGTTAGCAATTGCTTTATATATTTTGGGGATCCATGATTGGGAACATAGATATTAATAAGTTTTGTGTCATCTTGGTGCATGATTCCTTTATCATTATGAAGTGTCCCTCAGTATCTTTCTTTACTTTTTTTTTTATTTTGAAGTCTATTTCTTCTGATATTAGTACTGCTACTCTACTTTTCTCTGAATGTCATTTGCTTAAAAAGTCACTTTCTACCCTTTCACTTTGAGTCTGTATTTGTCTTTGGAACTGAGATGTGTCTCCTGTAGGCAGTGTATGGTTGTTTTCTGTTTTGTGATCCAATCTGCACCTCTGTGCCTTTTTATTGGTGAGTTCAGTCCATTTACACTTAGATTATTGAAATTTAGATCTCTTATAGCCATTTTATCTTTTGCTTTCTTTTAGCTTGGTATTTTCATTGCTTCTTTGTCCTTGAGTGTTGTTTTGTTTTGTTTTTTAATTTGGTTAGGTTTTGTGGGTTTTCTCTCTGGTCCTTCTTGTTTTATGTTATATACTTCAGTTCTGAATCTTTGGCATCTGGTTACCATTATGAATATGTAAAGGATAGTTATATACAGTCGTCCATTTCTTTCTGTGTGTGTCTTATCTCTATTCCCCTTTGCAAATTTGGATCTTTGAATCCTTGGGGACAGACTCTTAAAAGCAACCCCTTAATTCAGAGAAGCTCAGGTCAAAGAAAACACTGAACTCCTCATTGAGCTCTCAGGGTGGAGCTGTCATTCTTGCTGTATTCATTTGGCTCATAAATTCTTTACCTTTGCAGTGGCAGAAGCCCAGCTGAATCTGATATTCTTCTACTGGACATAGCAAGAAAGCTGGATATGTATGGCATCAGGCCTCATCCTGCCAGTGATGGTGAAGGGATGCAGATCCACCTGGCTGTTGCTCACATGGGAGTGCTGGTTTTACGGGTAACAACTTTTTCCTTTAAATTCCTTCAGTTGTGGTTATCTTGGCTCAAATTTGAGAGGATGTTGCCATGGTGATCCAGCCTTTCAGTCTTACCACCAATCAGAAAAGGAAGTGATGCTTGGGAGTGCTTTAAGTCCTCTTCTCTCAATGTGCTTTGCTTCCATTTACAGTCTATAATTGACTGTTTTGATTCTAAGGAACTTACACATTTAGATCAGGCCAGCATGATGGAAAAAAGAAGTCAAGAAGCTCTTTAGAACTTTTAGACCCTTAATAAAAATATAGATTTTGGCTTCCTAAAAGCTTAGGCTGTGACAGAGTACATTAATCCTGTTCAAATCCACCAGATACAATCTGAAGGGTCCAAAATGTGTTGTTCTCATTCAGTTACTTGTTACATTGGAGGTATCCTGTGCCAGCTGGTAGGGAATTAGTGCCAAAGCTTCTAGCAATTGTTGCCATTTACTGTCTCATCCTTTACCCAGGACTTTGTTTTCCAGGTTAGAAACCAACTCAGGGCTCTTTGGTCCTCCACCATCATTAATCTTCACTCCAGGGAACTTGGCTAGAAGCTTTTTTTTCCAGCATTTTTTCAGTCTACCTGGTCTCCTCATATCTGTGAACATTCAATAAGTTTAGATCTAAGTTAAGATTCAAAAACTCTTGCCTAACTTTCAAAATGAAAGGCAGACACTTAGGCAGGTTTGGGAATGAATCACCCACTGACCAAATTAGAGCACTGAAGTAAGTCACTAAGTCAATCAGATACAGACTCAGCTAAAAAGAATCTTGGCCATCTTATTTATTTGGTTGTAAAGTTTAGAGCATGAGAGTCACATTGATGGGCAAAAGATCAATGGATCATAGTCATACCTGTTCACCCTGGAGAGAATTTTTACCCAGTCCACTCTAACCCCTGATTCTTGCTATTTCTTAATGCATGAGAACAGATGGGGAGGGTAGGGGAAGGAAGGCCATCATGTTAGTTGTGATCTCTTTCAGTGTGAATACATCTGTGGACAGTTGGGAACACTATAGCTGGTCTATTTTGTCCTACCCAAATCCAGTCAAAGATACTTAGTATTGAGTACCTCTGTGTATTCTTCACTGCATTAGTCTTTTTTTAAAATCACCTTTATTGAGTTATAATTTTCATCCCACAAAATTCATCTATTTCAACCATACAATTCAATGAATTTGAGTGTATTTACAGAGTTCGGCAGCAATCTATTCATTTTTCTATCACATTTATTGTACATCCACTCTGTGTCAGAGACTTGAGCTACAGGGATAAATAGGAATGATCCTGGCTTCATGCAACTTGGATTCTAATGGGAGAGACAGACAATTAAACAACTAATTATAAACAAATATGATGTGCTTTCTGATAGAAAAAGTATGGGGTGCTAAGGTAACACATGTGAAAGGGGCTGGTGTCCTACCTGGGGTGCTTTCTTTGGTCAGAGCTTTTACCTAGTATGACAGGATCAGTTTGTGTAAGAGATAGATAAAGGATAGTCTCGATCATGAAGCACATTTTCCAACAGGTTTGCATTGTCTTACAAACCAGCTTATGCTGACATTTATCCTGAAATCTGCCATGTGTTTAATTATAGGGAAATACAAAGATTAATACTTTCAACTGGGCTAAAATCCGCAAGTTGAGCTTTAAGAGAAAGCATTTTCTCATCAAACTTCATGCCAACATCTTGGTAAGTAACTTTCTAATAAATTCTATTACTTTCTGTTCACTTGAGATTTCTTAGTTATTTCTGCAAATGGTTTGAATGTGAGTGGTAAAAGCCAGTTGGCCCTGAGAGGTGATGTACTCCCACTATTGTCTCTACATAAATAAACTAGAGCTTACAGAATCATATTTTACTAAAGGCAAAACACCAAGAAATCCTATTGTTAGTTCAGAATGAATAAAGAAATAGGAATATGGGGTGGCTAGAATGAAAGACAAGTCTCCTTAGAAACCATTTTCAGAGATCTGATAAGTCAAATAGAAGTGACCAGATCTAGGACTATAGACATATTCCTTCACTTTTGTCTGTTCCATTTTATCAAATATTTTTTATCTTCTTTCCTTAAGCAAAAATAATTGAATACCTATTACATGCCAAACAATTGCATACCTATTTTTTGCCAAAGTGGAATGTGGAAGGTGGATGTAAATTAATTATAAGAAGCAATTATTGGTCAATGCTGCATTGTACAAGATAAGACAAAGGTGCTAGAAAAGATGTTCTTTTATAACTATCAAGAAAATGAAAACGTGTATCAACTAAATTTTTGACCTACCGAAGATTGAGTAGTTTGGGCTTTGTCCTCTAAATTTTAGCAGTGTATAAAGCATTCTTTTGAGCAGTTCAGGAGACTGTATCCAGTGTGAGCCTCATGGAGAGTCCCAGGGCTGCATATGGGAATCTGGAAAGGAATAAGAGAAGTGGGGCCAACAGAGTTGGTTGGCGGGGCTGCTGAAAACAGCATACATGGGAAAATGGGTATATATAGTGAGTCAGGGGAATGGGGAAATCTTGACTTTATGTCTTGAAAGCTAAGCACCCCCAGAGCAGATAAAAACATGCAAAATGAGCAATACAGAGCATCATAGAACAAGGCAGCATAGAAAGGAAGAAGTATTTCCAGCTGGTATGTTATATTCATGTATATGTAATCATCCTGTAAAACCTGCCATCTGTAAAGAAATCTCCTCTTCTCTCTCCTTTCTTGTTGGTTGTTTATAACTTCTTGTCACTTTGAAAGGGTGCCCTTTGATGTTCATCTTAACCTAATATACAACTTCACAAAAATGTTTGTGGCAGAGAAGAGGGGCATTAAAAAAGTGTTTGAGGTGAGGGGGTGTGCAAGTTTATATTTGCTTCTTAGCGAAGGCTCTGTTTTTGAGAAGTGGCCCTCTGTTCCTTGAGGGTTGCCAATCATTTGGTTTCAATAGGTGTGAAGCCTATAGGGAGCCAAGTGTAAAACCAGATGTTGCATGGGCACCTGGACCAATAGTTTGGAAGGTGTTAGGATTTGAAAGTCTTTGATATTCTTGAAGGATGTTTTGTTGATGGACATTGGTTTATACAGGTGCTGTGCAAGGACACATTGGAGTTCACCATGGCCAGCCGAGATGCCTGCAAGGCTTTCTGGAAGACTTGTGTGGAGTACCATGCTTTCTTCAGACTCTCCGAAGAGCCTAAATCAAAGCCTAAAACCCTACTCTGTAGCAAGGGTTCCAGTTTCCGCTATAGGTAACTAAATACTGCATATAGGCAATCTATACACACAACTTCTTTTCAATAACATGGAAGGCAGGAGAAGCTTGAATTCTAGAAGCAATAAAAGATTAATTTCAATCACTTAAAGAATGATAACCTTTGCTTATTCTGTATGTGACACATTAAGTCAACATTTTTTTAAATTGGAAGCAAGGGGAGGGGAACACACTACTTAGGGGGTTCTATCAGAATCTCTGCAAGATTGAGGGGACATATGCAGTTTGAAAAATAATATTCAATTAACTTGTTTTCTTTATATGCAACTTACATGCAAGCCATGGAAAAAGAAAGCTCAACAACATCCTTTTGATGGTGGTTAGGCAAAAGATAATGTGAGGAAGAACCAGAGGGGCCAAGGGATTAAAAAGTTTGAGCAATATTGCAGTAGAGGCTTCTTACTACAGGTAACACTTTGGAGAAATGTAAGTGAGGTCTAAATAAAATCTTAATTTTACTTGAAGACACCACCCAAGGAATTCTTTTCTAAGATAAAAATGTTCTAATCAAATGCTTCCCATAAGGAACTTTTCAAATAGTGGAATATTGTTCCAGTAAAAACTGAGATTTTTTAAAACATACATATTTTTGATGGAATCTTTCCAAAATGTATTCTATAATTCCATGCCTTCTTAAACAGATGATACTTAATGACCTCAGTAATTCTAAATATCACTTCTGAAGGAAGCTGTAGTACAGTGATGGCCTCAGGGTGGGAAAGGCATGTCAGAGCCTGCACCTCAGTGATAAATGGTCCAGACATTTTGGGTTTTATTATACTTGTGATTTCTTTTTTTTTTTTGGGGGGGGGTGCTCTTTTCTCCCAGCAGTCAGCTGACTTTCTTTGCTAGTGTATGTCTGACTAGAACAACCCTCTTCTACTGTTGAGTTATCTGTTTTTCTTCCATCATGGATCGGGAAACCAGATATGTAGCCTTATTAAAAATTGTGTATAAATTTGGAAGTAGGGAAAATGCCTATAAAGTATATTAGTTTTCAAGGCCAGAATTTTTAACTGCTACATAGTCCTGTTTAGAGGCTTTTAAAAATTTTCTGGGTTCTGAGTAGTTGTTGTTCTATGCCTGATGTTTGGGTAAGTGAGTATTATCATTAATGTGATGGTCAAAGAGTCATGATATATGCCATTCATCCAGACTTTGGATTTCAACAATGAATGAGACTGTTGGGTTTTGGTAGCCTACTGGCTTATGACTAGCAGTAATA